CAGGGAGGTGGGCTGTGGTCTTGAAGGGCAGCAGGACAGACTCCGCCCCCTCCTCCACCTCTACCTGACAGACTGAGCGGACAACAAAGCGCTTTAAATCAGACCACATGAAACTGCATCAATTAGAATACTTCGATAATAATCAATATTAATAGATGAAACGCAAACAAATGTTTAAAGTGTAATTTAAAGTTTTGTAAATAAATGTTGACTCTTGTTTGTAAATAAAATGCTTTGCTCTCTGTGTGAATAAAAGAGCATCAGTCAGTTGTGACTTATATCCTGGCTATTATTTGACATTTACCAGTGTGTCATAAAAAGAGTAAGTTAAAAAAAATAATAAAAGTAAGTACAAACAGTTTGTTAGGCCAACAACATGTCTTTAGAGTTTGCACTAAAGACAGTTCTGTGTTCACAAACATTTGTAGTTGCAGGGAGAGTCAGGGCATCACAGAGAGGTCACAAGTTAACATTTGGATAACTAAATACATTTGCGCTGTGGCTAGATATATCTAGCAGGTTATATCCAATAGCATAGTTTTTATGGTAGGTATTAAGTGGAGTTTTCTCTCATACATCCCTGATGATAATAATAACTTTATTTGTATAGAACTTTTCAAAACCAAGTTACAAAGTGCTGTACAGTATAATAGTGGAAGAAAATATTACAGAAATCTGTCAGTGCTCAGAGTGTGATTAGAAAGACGAAAGGGGAGCGTATTTTAACCAGTCTGAACACAAAGGGGTAAATAAAACATTGTTTGTATTAGGTAAAAGTCAATCAGATGAATGTTTGGAATGTAAAACCATAGAAAGTGTAGAACTGTTTGTTGGACATATGGTGATGAGATGATGAGGCTAAATCAAAAGATAAGTCAGACACAAGGAAGGAAATTGAACCGTGAAGGTTTATAAGGAACATATCGGAATAATATTAGAGAAATTACTTATTTTAAATATATGATAAAGTGAAGTCCCATCAAACGTAGTAAACGCAGCTACAGTAGGTGGCGAATGCACCTGGCAAGAAGCTAGATTGTGGACTAGAACAACTTCCGGTTCAAGCGGGGATCGAGGAAACGACAAAGAAGAGCGCCGAGTGCTTTGACGGCTCCGACAGTCAGAGACCAGGACCAAGAGCGGGATGGAGGAGGACAACCAGGACCCGGAGCCCCGGAGCAACAACGTCCCCGGAGGACAAACAGCAGGCTCGAGCTCTGATAGCACCGATGTTCAGGTCAGTGTTCATGAACACAGCTAGCAGCTAACAAGAAGCTAACGTGGCGTTAGCTCGGCCTGGTTCCGACACGTAGCTTCATATTGACTGTAAACAAGATGTAATGTAGCAGGATTCAACAGTGGAGCCATCAGAACCCCGTATCTCTACAGAACCCACACTTAATGTGACGGTCGGAACCGGAGAGGAGGAGGAGGAGGAGGAGGGAGGAGGAGGAGGAGGAGGAGGAGCAGGAGGAGGAGGTCTCTTGTAGCATGTAGCCTGCTGCCTGGGTGTTAGCATGCTAGCTAGCTCAGACTGGACAAAGCTGAAGTTTACTGACAGTTAAGGGAAACTTACTGTTCGACCGATCCTCCGTGTTCTGCTCTTCTCACTGTTGTGAAAGCTGTTGGGTGTTTTAGATAGTTGCCATTTGAGATTTGTGAAATCTTTACTCTGTTTCCAGCTGGAAAACAGAAACATGTGGTAACTACCACCTACTTCATGGCTCTTGTGGTGGGACAGAATTGCGTACAAACAGTGGGAGTGCTGATGACACAGTCGATAAGACACGTGCCTTTGGTGTGAGAGACCCAGGACCAAGACACTTAACCACTAGTTGCTCCAGAGGCGTGCAACCTCTGACATGTATAGCAACTGTAAGTCGCTTTGGATAAAAGCGTCAGCTAAATGAATAAATGTATAAAGGATTGTTTGTTAAGCTACAGTATTTTTCAGTTAACCCTTCAATACCTTGGGTGTTTCTAAAATCTGATCAGACTGATCTGGTGCATCACGACAGATAACATTAAACTCAACTGCAAAGAGTTAGGCCTACTGATCTGATGATATCAGATGATATCAGCGTTGTGCCAGTAGAAATGATCCCGTGAGCAAGACACACAGTAATTGTTCGTGTGCTGGTGTTTGTTAAACGGAGAGAATCGTGCTGCTCTGCACTGAGAACTGTGAGACTTTATAGTTGGCCTACCAACACAGTGCACATGTGCAGACACAAACTCCATCAAAAGTCTCTACAGCTGTTGACAGCTGACCCAGCTGTGATCAGCTGCCGCCACCATCAGAGGAAAGGACGTCTCATGTCTCTAAAAACATATTTCCTAGTTCCTTCTCTCCTCGCTTGGTTTCCTTGGAAAAGACGCAAGTGAGGGAAACGTGGATGCAATTAAGAGACTTGAAGCACCCCTTGTTGATGTAACAGCATCTACTTTAGCATTAATGACTCAAAATTATCTGATTCATCTGTGACAAACCTTTCATATAGGGACAACAAACCCAGAATAAAGTGCAGTGGCACTGGGGCTGATAATGTGCAATTAATAAAACTATTTACAGTTAATCATAAAACACAGGGATAGATGTTATCTGGTTTTATGCCAAGCAGACACGGTAGAAATCTTCCATTACGAAGCGACACTAAACGCAACAATACAGATGTCACACACCAACGTAAGTTTCGGTTACTATCCACATGTGGCACACTTCAAAACTGAATTACGGGTAAGTTTATTAAACGCGGCGACTTTATGAAACGTACTGCTGATGGAGAAAGTCAGCAGAGACACATAAAAGGAGAGAGAGACAGAAAGAGGCGGAGCCAACCGGCGTGTTTGCAGAGACCAAAGGTGCAGGTTAGGTGTGTGAGTGTGGGGACAGGAGCAGATTCGAGTAGTATAGTAGATGCACTGTCTAAATAAGAGCTAACGGTCCAGTGAGCGGGTGGGTTGCAGTTCTGTCTCTCTTGTGTCGCGTCTCAGTTTCAGAACCATTACAGACTTGGTTACTCTACAGTTCTTTATTTGTGAAGTGTCTCAAATACACTGCAGACGGGAGTCTCTGTTAACAGTGACAGATCAATAATGTCACGGCAAACATAATCGGACATTGAAGCAGCAAAACTAAAAACTGTACTTCACGCGACAGAGGAAACTCACCTGAGGAAAACTAATCCAGCTTTTAGCTTCTAAAATATTTTTTTTTAGCTCTATGCAGCCCGACCAATATGGGATTTTTAAGACTTATACCAATTTCGATGATCGAGCATTTTAATATCCAAGGTGCCGATATTCGCATTTCCCTTCTTTTTTTCCAGAAACAATAACATAAACATAACATTTATGAGACCAAACTAAGCAGAAAGACACAAAGCAGGAAAAAAAGTACAATAAAAACTATAAAATTTTGATAAATAAGATTCAAATGTTTAAAACTACTAAAAAGATATAAAAATCCATTACAAACTACAGAGTAGCAATGTGCAGCGTTAGAGAATATTTAGCAGTGATGAACTGATGTGAACACAGCTACTCTACATCGTTGGTTCTGCATGCTCTGGTAGACTCCGATCAGCTGATTGTGTTGTGGTGCATTTGTGGAGGTGTTGTTATGAAGGGATTTGCAGAGCGCCCTCTTGTGGGCAAACTATGCAACACTCGTGACATGAGTGAAAGATCCTACTGTTTCTTTAATCATCATTAATCAGCTGTTATAAACACCAATAATGATTTATCTGCAATTAGCTCAAATCTGCCGATAATATTGGTAATTTAATATTATCTATTTCCTGTGTGTGAGGTTCACTCATTAATATTAATACATACTGACGGCATGAAGAGAAGGACGGCAAATTCTGACAGAAAAGCTTAAAAAAGTAATTTAACCCAGCGCGACACTGTCGTTTGTTTTGTTGAGGTTCACTCAGAAAAATGATGTTGTTTGGTGGGTAAAACGTGCGCACAGATTCAACGCTTGTGCACCAGAGGAAAGGCGGCACCGGAGCTCAACCCCCCTTGATTACTGCAGGAAAGCAATCCTAGCTAGTCACGTGGTGCGGAGGGACAAATTTGCAAGACGCACAGGATGACCCAGGTTAATAATTTTAATTCCCTTGTTTGAAAAGAGAGTAAACCAAATCCACTTGTGCTTAAACATTCATTTAGTCTACACACAGTTAACGAGGCTGCCAGTGAGTTAAAAGAAATAGGACCTTAGCGGTACACTGAAAGATTTATTGTTTTATTTTTCCATACCGTGTTTTTACGTGTAACATCCACACGCTGGCGCACATTGTTTGGCGCAAATGACACGTGATGTGACTATACTCGTATTTGCTCAACTGAGGCAATTTAAATATAATTTGTCCTCCTGTTCACCTTATTTATGAGAATAAATTGCATTGCATGCAAGTATTAATTAAAGAGGTGGTATTATACTCATTTTCAGTTCAAAATCCTGTTTAGAGGTTGTACCAGAACAGGTTTACGTGGTTACACCTTATTTTTTGTCATTCTGCACATTGCTGCAGCTCTCTTTTCACCCTGTGTTGAAGGCTTCGTTTTAGCTGTGGAGTGATACGTCTTGCTTTCTAAATGATCTCTGTTGGGAGTTGCACATGCACAGTTCCTTAAGGACTACTAGCCAATCAGAAGCAGAGATAGGATAGTCAGCGAAAAGACGGTAAACTGCTTCGATTCAGCTGTAGGCTACATGTTGCCGACCAGCTTGGCAGTTAATAATCTGTAACAAAAGTATCTTTCATCCATAAAGTTTTAACTGAGCTCTGTCTCTACATCACAGTAACAACTTTATGTCCACTGACTGCCTGTGCTAGTGTTTGGAAGGGAGAGTAGAGCTGTGCTGCATCTCTGTGAAAATAAAGTTGAAGTAAGGCTTGACTACAAACGAGCGGTTTTCAAGCTGTTCAGAGCAGAGTTTTCTGTGGGAGACGAGAACTCCCTTTGGGCTGGACTTTGGGCTTTTTCACTTTGCAAACCTGTTACATGCACAAAACAGATATATTGTCTTTTGGGTATTATTGTCTTTACACTTGTTAAAGCACTTTTTAACTTGTTTTTGAAAAGTGCTCTACAAATAAAGATTATTATTATTATATATAACTCTATAATGGAGAGGGAAAAAGCCAAAAAGCATAATAACACCTCTTTTAATATTATTCCTGATGAAACTGTGCAACATATTTGAGGTGTTCTATTGTTAAAAACTGGAATCTCCATTTGTGTGTATTTTGGGTCCACTGCAAATTTTGTTTTGTTTTTTTATTGCGCTTTTCAGGGAAAATAAATTAAACAGATGTTTGTTTGTTCGAAAAAGGCTTTCATCTGTTTTGCAAATTAACTTTTTAAGATTTTAAGTTAGGTTTTATTGGTCTGTGATGCTCAGAGGTAATATTGCAATATTGTATTTTACACAATAGTATACATTTCAATGTGTAAACCTTTCTTGCCATGTGAGTCGCTTTTTCTCATTACTCCAATTTATGTGCGTACGCATGGCTCAGCTCTGTGAAAATTCTGTGAGTTCAACATGGCATCAGGTGAGCCACATGCCAGCTTGTTAATGACGTAGCTTTTCAAACAACCAAAACCAGTTATACCCACCGTGTCCACGTCTTGTAACGCAGTAACAAGTTTACCAAGTGAAGATTGTGTGAAACATGCCTTCATAAGACGGCAGCTACCCCCTTTTTGTCCAGTATTAAGCTAGTCCAGCCACTAAAGCACTTGTTTTTGCCCATGTTGGGCTCAGATTGTTTGACATTATGGAAAAGATCCCTATATCAATCGAGCGTTTATTAAGGACACACACCTGGTCCAAAAGACATAAATACAATACAAAACAGACAAACACAAAACAGTGAAGTTCCTATAGAGGTCTATGCCCCCTCTGTGGACACACCCCTGCATTTGGTTGCTCGCTACACCATGACATCTCACTCACTATCTTTCTCTCTGTATGTCTCTGCTATAGAAATGGAGAAGAAGAGAGGGACTCAAACATCACCGCTGTCTACACTGTGAGAAATCCTTCACAACATCTGTATCTTTAAAGATTCATCAGAGAGTTCACACTGGAGAGAAACCGTACAGCTGTGACCAGTGTGGGAAAACGTTCAGTGTATCAAGTAATTTAAAAACCCACAAACGTATTCACACTGGAGAGAAACCTTATAGGTGTGACCACTGTGGGAAAGCTTTCACTACATCAGGTGAACTAAAAAACCATGAACGTGTATACACTGGAGAGAAACTGTACAACTGTGACCAGTGTGGGAAAGCTTTTACGCAATCAGGTGAACTAAAAATCCACCAACGTGTTCACACTGGAGAAAAACCATACAGCTGTGACCAGTGTGGGAAAGCTTTTTCTACAGCAGGGAACCTACAAAGACACAGACATGTTCATACTAAAGGAAAACCATACAGGTGTGACCAATGTGAGAAAGCTTTTACTCAGTCAGGTGACCTAAAAATCCACCAACGTGTTCACACTGGAGAGAAACCATACAGCTGTGACCAGTGTGGGAAAACATTCAATGTATCGAGTAACTTAAAAAAACACAAACGTATTCACACTGGAGAGAAACCGTACAGGTGTGACCAGTGTGGGAAAGCTTTCACTACATCCGGTGAACTAAAAATCCACCAACGTGTTCACACTGGAGAGAAACCGTACAGGTGTGACCAGTGTGGGAAAACGTTCACCATCTCAAGTAACTTAATAGTTCACAAATGCATTCACACAGGCGAAAAACTATACTGGTGTGAACAATGTGGCAAAACTTTCACTACATCAAGTAAATTAAAAGCCCACCAACGTATTCACACCGGAGAAAAACCATATGGATGTGAACAATGTGGTAAAGTTTTCACTACATCAGGTTGCCTGGAAAAGCACCGACATGTTCACACTAGAGAGAAACTGAACTGGTGTGACCAATGTGGGAAAATGTTGGCATGGAGTACTTCCCTTAAACGTCACCAACGCATTCACGCTGCTTTGCTTTGAACAGTTTTCAGTACTAAGCAAGCTGTTTCCTCCTGCCCCCTTCTCCTGATAGCATACTGCGCTGTTGAGCCACAACAAATTACCGTGAGGGAAATTACTTTACCGCGACAGCCCTAGTGTTTTATTCAGAGCTTGTCTACAAACTGAGGATAAACAACAGTAACTTTAAATATTTAGTAGCATGTTTGTTATTGTAGATGTGACTACATACTGTCCTGCTCATCCTCTACTCACAATAATGGTCTGAAACTACAGCATGTTTGCTGGTTTATGTTTTTCAAGTGACAATGTAGCAGTCTGCAGCTATTTTCATTTATTTTCCCATTGCTTTGGCCAGATCTGCAATACTCTGGTTCTTGGTTAGGGATCATTTAGAGCACTTTGTTGTACAGAGAGTGTTGCTCTAACTCCTCAGCAGGGATTGAGTGCAGCTGGGTAATTCCCTCTGGGCCAATCAGGGTGTGCTGACGTCCATTCTGGAAGGCATAAGAAGAGGGGCGTACCTGCGCACTGAAGCATTGCGTCTTTTTTCTTGCGTCTGCGTCTTTTTGAAGCATCCTGAAACCTGTATAATGTGCGCGGAACTCACTCCACATACAGACGTCAGCCTATAGCTCTGTCCTTTGGGACCTGCTGAGATCGCTTTTGCTGTCTCTTTTGTCTACCATGGTAAGAAATGGGTTCAGAGTGGACATATAGACCATGGCACCACTATTTGTTGTTGTTGCTTTCATTTAAAACCCCTTGCCCATTCATTCTTTTTGTTTTTGTGTTGTATTTTAGTGTCCAGTTTTGTTTTTGGGGTTGTTGCTTTGGGAGTCTTTACCATGTATGAGAAACAACCTCATGTCAAACGATTCACCTGATTATGACAATGACTACATTTATTATTTTGACCAAACTGCTTTAAATTAATATTTTTTGATGCCCTAGCTTGCTCAATACTCAGGAATGTCTCTGTTCTACAGCTACAACAGCTAAAGCGCATTTCTTTTGTCTAATAATTATGGTTAAGGTAAGAGTTTTATCATTTATTGAAAGTCTTTTAACATTTTCTTTAATCTGCTGGTTTTATGGATTTTAAAATCTGCTCAAAGATCATTGGAGTTCAGCTGACAGACCTGAGCTCCCTCTAGCTCCAGAAGGCTGGACAGGTCATGAGTCATTCTGATTATGTTCTTAGTCAGGAATTCTGTTTAATACCCTCAGGACAGCGCTACCTCGCCCTCCCAAGGAAAACTAATAGATATGCAAATTATTTTATTCCTTCTGCCATCAAGCTTTTAAATACTGCAGACAGCGGCAGCTAGACATGTGCCAGGCATCGTAAACCTCTGTATTTATTATTTACTTAGTATTGTTATCTATTTATTTATTTAATCTTCTGGTGCCCAAATGCAATATGATGTCATTGACAGTGTTTCTGACTGCTTGATTGACTGTTGTCTTCTTGTCTTGTTTGATACAACTGGTAGGATAAAACTGAATTGCCCTACGGGGATAAATAAAGTTATTTTAATTTGAATTAAACAAGGTTGTGCTCTAAACTATTTGATCATAAACCCCATTGTATAGCTGTAAATGGTGATAAAACTGATTGTTTTATTAAATGTTTTTCCAGCAACCCTAAATCAAAGAATAGACAATAGAGTAAGTAATTTCCCTAACATTTTATTGTTGTTTTTACTTTTACTGGACACATGTAATAATGTTTTATACTTTCTGTGAATATAATCCAATTAATCTTATTTCCGTCCTGTATAGACACCTTATTTTGAAAACCGACCCAATTTGATAAATTATGTGGTTATCGTATCGCGTAATATGAAGCCTTCACAGCCTCTTTTCAGGTAAGACTCTTATACTGCAACACTTGTCTTTGTATTTAGAGAGAAACTGACAGGATAAAGTCTCTAACCTGATCAGATCGCACTGGGCCGTTTCAGTGGATTTACCATAAAGGCTTGAATATGTGTGCACTCCAAATTTAGGTGCGGCTAGCTTAATTGCCTTCTCACAAACGAGTGACAGAAACAGACCGTTACCGTAGTTACCTCAAAAGAGAAGTGGTTGTCTGGAGTCGGATGCCGAAGTGTGTGAGCGTGCGAGCTTACAGCAGTGTGAAGCATCTCCCACAACTTGAAACTTGAAACTATGGCTGAACAAAGTAGACTATGGCGGGCCGCCATGGTCTCATTAAATAATGTGAAAAATGTTTTCTTATGAGAAAGTTTCCACTGTGACTCAAGGTTGAGAAAGGCTTATCTCGTAGACTCCACAATTATTCTTTAGTATTAAATGTTTTATTTGCCTGTTTCTGTGGGTGAATCGCTATTCTTATTATCATTAATAAATTTAACAAAAAAAACTTGTTGTAACTTGTTTATTTGTTCATTTCATTAGATGTCGGTTCTGTCGGTATTGGAGAGATGAGCATTTTTGCTAAAAGAAACGTAAAGGTATGTCACACTGTGTTGCATGTTGGAACCTGTTGGAACCTGGTTCCATCTGTTCAGACCTTCTCAAATGTTTTGGTAAAAGTATTTGGTATATAATAAAAACTTTTAAAAATAATATTGAAAGGAAGATGTTTACAAGAATTTTTCCCCACATCTTTTCTGTGACAGTTTGCTGGACAGGTTTATCATTGTTCTGTTTGTAGCAATAATCTTCTTTTACCACACATCTCCACACTGATCTTTAATAACGATGGTTAGAATATGGTTTATTTTCTCCTCTCTCAGTTCTGAAGAGCTCTTATCAAAAATTTACAGTTCAACGGCAGAAAACATTTTCTCTTTACACCAGGGCTTATTGAGCCACGACTCATTTCATCTGTAGTTTTAGTAAATAACTGAACAGAAACAGTAATCGGTCACATTACATCTGGTTTCTTTCTTTTTGTCTAAATAAAACAAAGCGTGAAATCTAACATTTCCACATTTACGGAAAAGACTGAAGTGAAATCACAGAAAAATCAGAAACAATCCAGCACTCGGTTTCTATGTTTACAGTTTTTTTTGATCGCTTCGGTACTATTATCGCAAGTATGTGGCTGATGGACGAATGTGGTTGCAGGAAGACTGGCGAGGAAAGAGGAGGAGCCGGGAGGACGCCCGAGAGGACAGGGCAGGTAGGCGAGCCAAGCTGACACGACAGTGGATGGAGGTTAGTGAACCTGGGGAAAGGCAGATAGACAGACAGGATTAATTACAGGGAACAGAGAACGGTGATTTGCGGGATTCAAAGTAGCTTGCATAATGCAGTGACACCAGGTCAGGAGCAACGACGATCAAGCCAAGATTGTGTGGAGAACCGGTGTTGATATACTGGCAGAGATGGAGTTGATTGCTGGCCGGTGTGGCAGGCAGGAGGCTGCTGATGAGGTGCAGGTGTGGACTGTCAGCTGGGCTCACAAGCGCGGAGAGAGGAAGAGCACACACGGGGGAGGGTGGGGACACAGAGAGGCAGGCAATACACAGAGGAAAACAGAATGGTACGAAAGAAGGACAAATAAACAGGACACTTACCATCAGCCGGGCTGCCACCACAACTAAAACTGTGCAATCTGTCTTTTACAGAACTGTATACTATACTATTTTCAGCACTTCTAAGGCGATTTGAAACATGTATCTTACATTGTTAATCATTGGATTCACTGAAAGTTAAAACCACTAAACTAAAAAGATATCGTTATGTTGTGTTTTGGTGATTAAACCATATGTTTCTCATGACTTTTCATGATGATGATTTTGAATCAATGGCTTGTGTGGTGAGAGATGTTTACAATCCAAATGAATGCACAATGGGAAGTTTTGAATGAAAGACTGGCGGTGTTACAAGTGTGATGGAGTTTTGTACTAAAAGTTTACCACAATTTTACCACATTCTTGCAATAATAGTACCAAAGCGATCAAAAGAAACTGTTAAGTCTTTCTGTGTCCCCTGCCAGCTGAAAGCTTCCTGCACCATCTGTCTGAAATCAATCTAATACATATTCAGCAGGTCTTGTCTCAGATGAAGCTCTTCCTTCATGGTTGTGATGATGTTGGAACTATTAACTTGTAATGTTTCACATCAACACACTCAGAGCTAGATGGAAAACCCAGAGTTAACAGAACCATCCACAAGCAGCTTCATTATACTGGTTATCCAGGACGGCCATTGTTACACCCAGAGAGAAATAGAATCAGCTAAACCAGATTCAGGATTCAGGCCCCAGATGTGAGGGAGCAATAAAGACAGAGAGAAATGTTCCAGATCAGACCTGTGGTTTGCTTGTGACGTGAATGAAGTGTGACAGCAGACTGAGATTAGAGAATGAAGACGAAGACAGATATTTGGAGCTCAGCTCTCCTGAAGGAGCCGAGATGAAGTGGGAACAACAAGAGGAAGAAGAGAGAAGCCTTTTGGCTGAAGAAGAGGAAGCAGACAAAGTGACAGTTTTTAGGAATCATTTCTGATTTGGATTCCACACATGGAATCATTTCCATTTGCTGAATCATCATGAAGACGTTCAGAGCCTCTGCTGCTGCTGTTGTTCCCTTTTACACTTCTGGAGGAATATTAATATTAGAATTTCCACTTTTACTGTCGGTCAGATCAGCCGACCAATCAACAAGCAGACTGTTTCTCCTGGATGATGGAGGTGCTCTATGGATCTCTGGGTCACCGGCTGGATGATGCAGGAAGCAGAATGACCCAGAGACAACATGCTGCCTGTGAGGACGTCCCAGCAGAGACATGGAGGGGAGGGTTACACCATCACTACACATCTGTATGTTTTGAAGAACAAACCTCACATGACACACCAGTCTTTCTACAACACTTCCTCACTGACATCAGCTTGTTGTGTGGAGACATTTGTCTGTCCAGCTTCCTGTTGTGTGTTTGACTCTGACTGTGATCAGAGCTACAAGCTGCTCACTGACCGTCACAAACCTGCCACTGGAGACTGTCTGTCCACACCGATATTGCTTTGATTTGATGGACGTCCTTCTCTGGGCTAAAGACCATATTTTACTGGACACAAGTCTCAAGAAGAAACTAAATCCAACAAGTCCATTTTCTGTGGACAAGTCTTTGGACATGTGACAGTGTGGACGTGAACAGTGACGAAGGAAACGTCCTGCTGGTAACAGTGATGTTCTTGTTAATGAAGGAGTTTTCTGTTGACAGACCAAGTGGATGTTCAGAGGGAGGGACGGCCTTCTGCAGGACAAACAGACGCTTGTGCTGAACAAAGAAATGGAGGATGGAATCGGACTAAATGTTTACAGAGCTATGAGAGCGCTTTGGTAAATGTGATGGAGCAACTGATAAAAAGTGGAACATGTTAAGTATGAGAATAAACCACAAGCAGAGTTTCCACAATCAATAGTGAGTGTGTAGACCGGGTGTGAGAGTCAGTAGGAGTCAGAGTGAAGAAGAAGCTGATAAAGCGTCTTCCTGTCTTCATCTGTCCTCCATCAGCTGCTTCACCTCCATATTCTCTCTAATCCAGAGTCAGATCGGATCAATGATCAAACTAATTGATCGGTCATCAGAGGAGTTGGATCAGTGGAGCTGCTTCTGTTCCTGTTTGTCTCTGCAGAGGAGACAGAGGACAGTCAGATAGAGACAAACACAGAGACACTGACCTCAGTCTCCATACTGACCTTTGACTCTGAGACTCTGAGATTTCTGCTGGAGACGTAGACCCAGTATCGTCCTTCGTCTCCATCTGTGGGGGATTTCAGGGTCAGACTGAGGTCTCCAGTTCTCAGCAGGTCTTCCTTCAACTGGTCCTGTTGGTCAGAATAATCAGAGCCGTTCTGATACACGTGAACCGTCTTTAGCGGCTCCACTCTGATGTCCTCAGGGAGGTGAGCTGTGGTCTTGAAGGGCAGCAGGACAGACTCCGCCCCCTCCTCCACGTCCACCTGACAGACTGAGACGACTACAAAGCAAAACATGAGCTGCACAGACAGCAGGAGCAGTTTGAATAACTTTATTTAATGATTACAAAGTTGTAGAGAAGCTGAAGGACAGAACCAGATGAGAGCAGCCGCGAACAGGGGACAGAAATACAGGAAGTAAAAGCAAGAAAATATTTTAAAGTCAGTGACACAAACAGCTGACAGAGATTTATGTCATTAAACACTTAAGTGTACTAATGTCATTAGTACAATAATGAAACGATAACAATATAAAAAGGATAAATAAAATTATTCTTCCTCAGAGCAAAAGCTCATGATGTCACTTTTAATCAGATCAACTGAAACTGCATTAATTAGAATACTTTGACAACAATCAATATTAATAGATTACACTGAAAACTATTTTAAGGTGTGGAAATAAATTTGCTCTCTGTGTTTAGAGAATAAAAGAGCATCAGTCTGTGATAATCCAAAATAACTCATAATTTCTGCTGATTCTACTCAAACACGAGCTCCTAATTTCATGTAAATCAGGTCTACTGACCAAAAAGAAGAGTAAAATGTGGTCATGGGTTGGAATGAAGTTACCTAAAAAGCTGTGTTAATTTATAATTCATGTTTTAAACAGTCAAACCCGACCGGACAAAAGTGACACGGTTGACGGAAAGATGAAATAAAAACACAGGTTTAAAGCTGAAGGACCAAACTCCTGAGCCCCGTTTCAGAAAGCGGGATCAGTAAAATTCTGAGTACGTTCAGCCTGAGATGAGGGAAACTCTGGGATCAGATAATCCCTAGATCAGTAACTCTGTCAACTGATGCTGTGAACCTAACCTCCTCGGGAGGATAAGTTGGAAAACCGCCAGTTTCTCTCTGACTCCTCCTTTACAATCACAGGTTCATGAGTAAAGTGTCTTATATTTGATCTATACCTATTTTCATAATCAGGTAGCTGATTGCCACCCGATTTTGTCCCATTGGGTTACAGCTTAATAAATATAGCCTTCCTATTTAAAATCGAGTGTAATGGGCTGCAGCACTTTATCATTCATTAAGGAAAGTTCAGTCTGATAAATGATGAATGATCAACGCTGCATAGTAGCCTAATAAAGTTAACGCATTGATCCTTCTTCCACTCCTGAATTTCATGATCCACGTTGGCAGCATTCATATTACTCTCTCCACCCGATTAAAATGGAGGCTCTGCGTTTATTTACCCATTGCCATGGTGAATCGTACTATCGGAGCTCCATTGGTGATGTATTTTTTTCATCCACACGCACGCTCTTCAATCAGGCTCATCATACTCAGAGTTGACTGAACTTATTCTGATCAGCTGCTCTGGAAGTTTCCCACCTCAGGCTCAGTCAACCCAGAGCTCAGGGATAAGCTCAGAGTTTGTTAAGCCTGCTTTCTGAAACAGGGCCCTGTTGTTGTTCTGTTTGACTTGTTGTTGTTGACATCTCCTCATTTAGCAAGGAGTGATAAATCTTGTGACATATCAGACTTTACCACTCTGCCACATGAGGGCGCTATAACCAAGGTTTTTCTGCCTCGTGAAATCATCAGTCTCACAGCTTTCATCACATGTCGTCAGGTGGAGTTTCAGGTGAAGCTCGTGTTCAGACGCCAGAGAGGAACAACAGGTGGGACAAGTGGATGCTGTTTGACTCCTGATCGACACGCCCCCTTATTGGGTAAACGTTATATTGATTGGACGCTGCAGCTGATTGGACTGATCTGATAACATTAAATTCAAGTGCATCACTGCAAAGAGTCAGGCTATATTTGATTTGTTTTATGATTCACTGTCGAGTTAAAGTCTGAGTTCATTGTAGGTCTGAACAAAAGCCCCACACACAACTTTCTTCATTTATTAGAAAGATTTTTTTAAATTTTATTTCTCCCATCAACTTTTATTAGAGACAATTAAAGTCAGAGAGAGTCGGAGAGTCTGTCAGAAAGAAACATGTTTTACATAATTTATCATTTGTATTCTGTCACATGTGAGACTGCTCATTCTTGTCTAGTCCAAATAGACGACTATAAAACAGATCTCACCTACTGCATCTGATGAAAGCAGTCAGCGGCTACATAAAATCAGCTGATGAAAGTATGAATGAAAGCCGCTACGCTAAAAAGAAAGCCTCAGACTGATATGATGGAACGCAGTGATCGATCGGTGACGAGTGATGTGACTTGCATAAATTTAATGTAGGCTAGTGTTAAAGGATATCAGGACTGGAAATAAACCGAAAGCCTAAAACTGAGCTTCGACTAGAGTTACATCATCCCTGAAACATTTAGCCTAATAAATCTAAAGGCACCATGATCATATTCTGAGTTATTCAATAACGAATTCACAGTCAGAATCAATTAATATAAATTCAGCATTGTGCCAGTAGAAATTATCCTGTGCCTCTGAGCAGGACATAACATAGTATTATTCATGTGCAGGTGTTTGTTAAACAGGTAACAGCTACAGAGAGAGTCATGCTGCTGTGCTCTGATAACTGTGAGACTTTATTAGACACAAACTCCATCAAAAGTGTGTACAGCTGTTAGAGCCGACTGACAGCTGATCCAGCTGTGATCAGCTGCCGCCATCATCACAAACGGACGTCGCTTCATGTGACGCTTCAGAGAAAATGACGTATCATGTCTCTAAAAACACATTTCCTCGTTCCTTCTCTCCTCGCTTGGTTTCCTTGTGTCTCTCCATGCATCTCCGGTGGGCGGGACTAAGACGCAAGTGAGGGAAACGTGAATGCAATTAAGAGACTTGAGAAGCAGTCCATTATCTTGCGTACTGGGACTTCTCCCAAGCTGCCGGTACTCTCCTCTGTCCTCTCCATATCAGGTTCTCTAGGCGCTATGTGATGCTCACCTGTTCCCGTTCTCGCCTGCATACTAATCGCTGTCGGCAGAGAGAGACGAGGGAGAAGAGAAGCTCGGGTGCCTTTCAAGCAACCTGTGCTAAAAGTAGCTTGTCAGTGTCACTTGTCGTGAACCGACCAATCACAGCGTGGATGGGGCGGGACATTTAAAGTATTGACAGATATGTTTCATTTACACTGAGGACGTGGACGCTGTCAGAATCAGAGTGTCACGATCACTTTTTTTGAAAGCTTTTAAAAATGTTCTGAATGACAGCAACAAAAAATGTTAAATAACAAATGAAACAATCCACAATAAGAAAACATGCAGTGCAATTAAAATATAGAAGAAACAAATTTGATAAAAGCTGATTACTGCATTTTATTCAGTTACATTTCTATACGTTGAATTGTCACCTGCCACCTTAATTTTGTTTTCCTTCATATAAATAAAGACATTTCCTCCATAAATTGGTCCAGAAGTACTGGCACGTATTTCTTTCCACTTCAAGCACTCAGGGTCAGTTTCAGACAGCTGATGCTGCCGATACTGATCCCAGATCTGTGTGTCAGGGACAGAAGAAGCAGCAGTTAACTACTGAAGGACCAGAACAGGCGCTGGACCACAGAGACACATCTGGTAATCCAGCTAACTTCAGCTTAAACACACATCTTTGAAATAAAACTGGATTCAACAAATTTGATATTTGGTTTATGACACTTTGAATATAGTTCTAGGAAAATTTCAGCTGTCAGAAACAAACACGTCTCTCACGGCCACTTCAGCATAAACGCACTTTCATGACCCACAAGTGTTAAATATGGAACAATGAGGACAAAAAGAAATGACTGTTTGAAATGAACTGAATCACCAGAACTCGTTTTAAGGCTGTTTGCAGTCTGGAGAACAGAACAGAGTCTCCAGCTGCTGATACAGTAACGATGGTTTGTGAATCTCTGCGGGACAAAAAGCTTCAACGTCTTGGAAAAAAATCAGCAACATTAGACTGCTGTTACGCGAGACTCTGTGAGGCCGCGAGAACACGCAGCTCCACGAGGTCCCGCAGCGCTCCTGAATCTGAAGAGCTCCGACAGTCACAGAGGAGACCTGCTGGATCTCAGAGACCAGGACCAAGAGCGGGATGGAGGAGGACAACCAGGACCCGGAGCCCCGGAGCAACAACGTCCCCGGAGGACAAACAGCAGGCTCGAGCTCTGATAGCACCGATGTTCAGGTCAGTGTTCATGAACACAGCTAGCAGCTAACAAGAAGCTAACGTGGCGTTAGCTCGGCCTGGTTCCGACACGTAGCTTCATATTGACTGTAAACAAGATGTAATGTAGCAGGATTCAACAGTGGAGCCATCAGAACCCCGTATCTCTACAGAACCCACACTTAATGTGACGGTCGGAACCGGAGAGGAGGAGGAGCAGGAGGAGGAGCAGGAGGAGGAGGAGGAGGAGGAGGTCTCTTGTAGCATGTAGCCTGCTGCCTGGGTGTTAGCATGCTAGCTAGCTGGACAAAGCTACAGTTAACTTCCGGTTCGGCAGTTGGGTTTACGCTCTGGACTGTGGAGTGTTCGGTGCACGAGCTCTGGCAACCAAGCTGTGGAGCGAGTCAGTCAGTTGTTAGGAAAGAAAACAAAACGTCTCTGACGTGCTATTAACAAGCTAACGGTTAACAAACTTGGTTTAAGATGCAACGTTATCTCGTGGACTCAGAATGGACAAGCGTCTGAAGTTCAGAAGGCCAGAGACACGGACTAGTTCGCGCATGAGGCTGAGGACAGTAGTGCTGAGTTTAGCACAACACACAGCGCTAATGGAGCTGGAAGAGCCGCTGCAGGTTACTAGTCAGTGAATGTTGCATCAGCAACGAAGAGACAGGGTGTGTGTATAAGGACCGTGTCTGTGTGTCGGCGTTGTGCCGCTGTTGTAGGGTAACGTTATGTTAACGGAAACATCCATCATGCTAATGCACATTAAACAGCGAGGAGAAAACACACCGGAGCCCAACTTATCCCCGCTGCTTTCAAGCCAATACTACGGTTTACCGTATATTACTATAAGCCTTTAGATGCAAAAACAGAACAGGATGACTGATCACTGAGGTAACTGGCATTAAAATATTACATTACATTACCTTATCTAGCCAAGGTGTAATTAATTGTAACAACTCAAGCTGCACAATTCATTTTGTCTTTTTGATTTCACCCCTTAAGAGTGACGTTAAATAACAAATGAAAATACTTGAAAGGTTTATTTGCTCAATAATAAAACATGCAATGTAAATATAGAAGAAACAAATGTTGTCTAAAAATAAAGGAACTTAAGCTAAAAGAACAAGCTTCTGAGTACTGCATTATATTCTGTTTGAATTGTCACCTGAATCACTTTATATAAATAAATACAATTCTACCATAGATTGGTGCAGAAAATGTCTCCAGAATGCAGGAAATTAGGTGTTTAATGCTCAAAGTTTTCTAGAGGACCCCCAGCCCCCCATTTATAGATTTCAGCATTGAAAATTTCATCAAAATAGTGTTAAAAATATCTTCTTGTCTTGTTCTCGTGAACCTAATAGTGTGACTTGTGCATGTGGTCTTTAAAAGTCTTAAATTTAACTAATCCTGGCGGTACCCTGAACTGTATTCAGAGCAGCAGTAAAAGGAAACAAATGGAACATGTAAAATAACTGAATAAAGTTTAGATTGAAGCCAGCAGTCCTCCTTCTCCCTCTGCTGTTTAATCAGGTTTACTGTCAGGTACATTTTCACATACGAGGAATTTGCCGTGGTATAAATCGGTGCTTACAGTACCCATAAACATATAGAAATATAAAGATATAATAAGTAAGGAGATCTAAAAATGCACAAGTATACAGTAATTACAATAATACTATAATACAATGCTGACAAGTATGTACAAAAATTTACAACATGAGCACAAAGAACAGTTGAGCTTTGTTTTTAAAGTGTGTGTTTGGGGAGGGGGGCACGAGAATCAGTGACAGTGGGGACCCGAGCCTTGTTGAGGAAGCCCACTGCAATCGCAAGGAAACTGTTCTTGTGGCGACTAGTTTTGGTCTTGGTAGAGAGGAGCCGGTTTCTCAACAAGCAGCTGAGTTTACAAGGATTTGCTAAATTTTAAGGTTGCTAAATTTTAAGGGATGTAGCATCTCAGCTAAACAGGCTACAGACAGAGTTTTAGCTTGTTATGACAAACTAGCTATTAGCAAAGCTAGCATGTGTGTTTGTGTAAAACCAAAACACAGCTGCGATGGTTGAGACGGAGTAGAATAAAATATTGCTTGGTGCATGTTCCTGCTTGTTGTACTGATGCAGTATGAGCCTTTTACTAATACTGCTGGTTTTGCTGCACTTACTTACAGTTACGGCTAGGGATGGGGATTGAGACCCGGGTCTAAAAGGACCCAGTTCCAAAATTTCTCAAAACCTGAAAATCAATAAGGTTATAATAAGGCTGCAGACGCCATTACGTAAGTCAGATATTGACTTTATATAGTGACTTTGCTATTGTAAACATTAATGTTGCTGCTGTAGAAACAATTTTGCTGTATTTAAAATAATAAATTCTAATCCTATAATTAATTTTAAAGAGGTGGTATTATGCTTTTTGGCTTTTTCCCTCTCCTTTTATTGAGTTATATATAATTTTTATGCAAGTAACAGGTTTGCAAAGCGAAAAAGTCCAAAGTCCACCCCAAAGGGAGTTCCCATCTCTCACAGAAAGCTCTGCTCTGAACAGCTCGTTTGTAGTCCAGCCTTTCACTTCCTTCATTTGTGACGTCACAATGAAAACGCGTCATAAAGCTTGCCCAGCGGCTAGCGGGGTCAGGCACGCCATCAAATCAAGCTAGTCTGAGCGGAGGCCCTTTGGCTCGACTCGCCTTTGTTTGGGTTTCCATTGTAGAAATGTTGTACCTGTACCTGCTTCCAGGTACTTTTTTCGTATCACCTCACCTCCATCGAGGTTCCTAGCAAGCTGTAATGTAAACGTGAACGTAAAATGTAACGTGAAAACATGAGACTGATTGGTCAGAGAGAATATTCACTGCATCATCATTGCTGCACCAGACAGAGGCCAACAGAAAGTTTTATATTTTACAGTTTTCGTATGGAATTTCATCACTAAATCCATTTCTGAGAAGTTTTGAGGTGAGAAATCAGCTGTGCAGATTTTGAATATTGACAGTTTTACGAGAAGTGATGGCGGAACAAAAATGTGCTTTAATATTTTTGGAGTTGAGGAGCTCCGCAAGCGGCTGTGGGGGAAGCCTGTACCAACCCGCAGGAGGAGCGTGTGAGGCCGGCCAGCCGCCCGCTCACAGAGCCCTCTGCTTCCGCTGTCACACAGACCGCTGCAGCAACACCGGCAGAGGAAACACAGCTGGAAGGTTTTCACTTCCGACTTCCCGTGTCAAATGTAACGCACCATATCTCTGGGTAATATCTGCAATGGAAAACGGAGCAGAGCCGAGTAGAGTTGAGTCTATCGTTTTGCGCTATGGTAGCATTTTTCGGCAAGGCAGCATAGATCGTCAGAACACCGGCAACAGTTCCACGTTTAGTCCTAAAAGACGATGCAACTCCGACTTTGTTTGGGCCTGGAAATTCACAATCACAACCTGTAAGTATGCTTTATTGGTTGTGAATTATTTTAAATATAAGCATGTCAATGTAACTTCACAGACTGTTCAAGTGCAGAGTTGTTGTAAACGTTGGCTAACACAGCTAAGGTTATAGCTATAATGCTAATGTTACAACTGATGTGAAAGCTACTGAGCAAACGTTCAAATTGTTTGGCCAATTTTGATGTAAAATTGTGATTTTTGTAGTGGTTTATGGTAAGATGTGGAACAATGATGTTGTGGAGAGTAATTTATATATCTGCTAGGTTACAGGCGCAGTCTGAAGCGCCTTTGATTTGGATCACATTACTTTATTTCTTACTACCTGCTTCTCTGCTTCTGATTGGCTAGTAGAGATGCTGTATTTATCCTCCCACAGCGTCTGGCCCAGGTGCTGCCAATCTGGTTTACAGGCGCTGTTACCTTCAGGGACAAAAGGAACACAGTTAAACACCCAACTAGGCAGGGCCGTCACAGAAAGCACAAGTCAAAGTATATGTCCAGCAAGAGTGGCAGGACGGCTGCTTTACTCCAAACAGTTTCACTTTTTGAACCTGCACTGTGTGCAAGACCTATTTAAATGTATAGAGAAAAAGCCTTGTAGCGTCAGTTTTTGATGGTAAAGGTACGTATATGGTATTTAACACAAAAGACTGAGTAAGGAGGTGGTTGGGGTGGATGGAAGGCCAGAACCAGAAGTATTTTTAAGTTATGACAGTTACATAAATATGTAAGTTATTGAAGTGATGTAAGTTAACTTACATGTTGATTGATGTAGTTATTTTAACCCAGACCATGATCTTTTCCTACCCATAACCAAGTAGTTTTGTTGCCTAAATCTAACCAAATTGCAATGTTTCACGGCTTGAATAACGTGCTGTTTCAAAATGGCTATGTATCAAAATGCTAGCATAGTATCGGCAGACGTTGCATATTTGTTGTTGCTAAACGTTGGTAACTAGACCACAGAGCCATCAAAGAATGACGCTAAAGGGCTACCCAGGTTTTTACAGGCGGCGGAAAAAAACCTTGAACAAGCGTCAATATGTGACGAGTTGGGAGTGAGAATGTGTTGCCGTACAGCTACTCTCTCACCTCCCGACTCCTGTCCACTTTCCCCTAATGCCCACTCCCTTACAAATATACGCCAATCAAAGACAACAACCAATGAAATCACATGGGACATTGAGGACCGTTCTAAGTGTTAATTACGGTCAAATAGTTATATGGCAACATAACACATACATTGTATCTGCTGCACTCTGCCACACGTGAGAGAGGACAACAAACATGTTAACTACACCGGCAGCTGCTGTGCCATTCATCATAAACTTATACAAGGCCCAAACGAAAGAAGCACTGAATGCAAAATAGTTAGGTAACCTGACATTAGTAAACATGTTTAGCTCAGCATTGGCCATCTAAGTTAGCTTGCTTCTTGCTTCAGCTACGACCTACGAGAGGTTAACTCCAACTGTCGTTGCTTAGGAAAAGATGAATGAGCATTTATTTGTTTGCCAAACTGGTGGTAGTCGATTAACGTAATCATTTACGTTCCACTGGCTGCTGTGATGTTTATTGACATTAGCTGCAAATGGGTTACAGGTTTATGTTGATCATGTAACGTTACAGTTTTATTTAGTTATAACGCTATACTGGTTTGAGAGTCTGGGTGGAGGGGTGGTGACTTACAGTAGTTAATAAGCTGTTGATCTGGTCCAACACCTGAACAAATTTGTTTGAAGCAGCCTCCGGCCTACAAGGGCCACTTCTGATTTTTACTATCACACTTTTCTTATGAGAAACACGTTTAATAAAAAAGGTCAATCTGTGCAGCGTAGGAGGAGATATCCTGACTTAAGACTTTGGGGTGGGTCAAACTCTATTAACGATTTTTACTATCACACTTTTCTTATGAGAAACACGTTTAATAAAAAAGGTCAATCTGTGCAGCGTAGGAGGAGATATCCTGACTTAAGACTTTGGGGTGGGTCAAACTCTATTAACACAGGATCTTACATATCCCATAATGTAACTTGATCATGTGAGGTTGATTGATAATAGAGCAATGTCTAGGAGGGATCTGTGATGATCAGATTCCTGTAGAGGTCTGTGCCACCCCAGACCCCTCTGTGGACACATCCCTGCAGGTGTTACAGGTGGTAATGTTTTAGTCAAACTTGGAACATTGTGGGTTGTGCTGTAAATGTAATTTATGGTTCTAGATGGCTCGCTCCACCGTGACATCTCACTCACTTTCTTTCTCTCTGTTTGTATGCTGCTATAGAAACGAAGAGGAAGCGAGGGACTCAAACGTCACCGCTGTCAGCACTGTGACAAATCCTTTGCAAGATCTGGATATTTAATGAGTCATCAGAGAATTCACACTGGAGAGAAACCGTACAGCTGTGACCAGTGTGGGAAAGCTTTCATTCAGTCATCTAAACTAACAATCCACCGACGTGTTCACACTGGAGAGAAACCGTACCGCTGTGTCCTATGTGGGAAAGCTTTCATATCAGCATCTAAACTAAAAATCCACCGACGTGTTCACACTGGAGAAAAACCTTACTGTTGTGACCAATGTGGGAAAGCTTTCAGTAAATCAGGTGACCTTAAGGTCCATAGACGTATTCACACTGGAGAGAAACCGTACAGCTGTGACCAGTGTGGGAAAGCTTTCAATAAATCCAATGACCTTAAGGTCCACAGACGTGTTCACACTGGAGAGAAACCGTTCAGTTGTGACCAATGTGGGAAAGCTTACACTACAAGAGGTAGCCTAAAAAGACACCTATGTGATCACACTGGAGTAAAACCTTACTGGTGTGACCAGTGTGGGAAAGCTGTCACTTCATCAGGTCACCTACAAAGGCACCAACGTGTTCACGCGGGAGAAAAACCTTACGGGTGTGACCAGTGTGGGAAAGCTTTCACAACAGTATATGAACTAAAAATACACCAACGTGTTCACACTGGTGAGAAACCGTACAGCTGTGACCAGTGTGGGAAAGCTTTCACTGCAACAGGTCAACTACAAAGGCACAGACGTGTTCACACTGGACAGAAACCATACTGGTGTGACCAGTGTGGAAAAGCTTTCACTACATCACATACACTAAAAATACATCAACGTGTTCACACTGGAGAGAGACCGTACAGCTGTGATCAGTGTGTGAAAGCTTTCACCTCATTTGGTGATTTGACAAAGCACAGACGTGTTCACACTGGAGAGAAACCATACTGGTGTGAACAATGTGGGAAAATGTTTGCTCAGAGCAGTACCCTTAAAGTCCACCAACGCATTCACGGTGCTTCGTTTGAACATTTTTCAGAGCCAAGCTAGGTGTTTCCTCCTGCCTTCTGCTCATGTCCTGACTAGGGGCGTTGCTGCGTTGAGCAACATGCACCGCTAGGCTAGCTCGCGCGCATGCTGCTGTTCAATTTTTGCGCTGAATCCAGCTTCCACGCAGTGCAAATTGCTTCTTTTCTGAAAGAGCCTTTATGGAAGAACGTCGTCCTCTCAAGACTATCAGTCACTAAACATTTAGTGTTGCCTCCTCCTGTCTGTGTTGAGAAAATGTTGCCAGATTTAAAACACTAACAAAACATCAGGAGCTTATGGACTTTCAGGACAATACCAATTAACTGCATTTCGGATATTAATAAGCCTGTATGAGAGATGCTCTCAACTTTTCACAAAAAATTACACGTATGGATGAGAGTGGATGACAACAGTTCAGTTTATTACCCATCTTAAAAACAATTTCCCTTGGGGTATAAATGAAGTTAATATTCCTCCTAATTAATGCATAATAATTGTGAAACAATGATTATTCTTCAGACTATAATCGTACCAACAAAATCTGTATTCGTTGCATCCCTAGTGCTGATAGCTGTGTTGTAATAATGTGAGCTTCTTTGCAAACTAAGGGATAGACAACAGGAACAGAGGTGTTTCTTTCAGATATGTTTCCCCTGTAGATCACCTTTCTCATATAATATCATCCCTGCTGTATCAGCACACATTGCAGGCATGATTTAGTCTTCCCTCCTCTTTTGTGTCTTTGTAGAAGTAATCTCCTTTTTAATGTGCAAACCACGTTTTTGTCCACATAATTACTTGTAAGATACAACACAAAATAAGAAAGATAAAATATATTTTAAATGTAAATGACAGTAAACATTTGGTTTTGAGGAAATGGCTGTTAATGATTAGCTAATACAATAGAAACGCACTTACCATAAAATAACCAAATTCAAGATTGTTTTGTACATTTTATAAAAGTATGGTAATACTCTTGCTTTAATTGATCAGTTCATTATTTGTCAGTGAACCATCTCTTTATTCATGTGATCTAGTTTTATTCCACATCAAATGTTCATTTTCTCCTGTAAGAAATATTTAAAACTGAGGGCATGCCAGTGCAGACTTCGGTGCAGTCAAAAAAACAGTCATCAGTGATTATCCTTAATAAGTATTAATCATTTTATTATCATTAATCATTCTTAATCTTTGTACATTACCTAGATGTACCTTATTTTCTACTTATAAGTGCTGTATGCAGTAACAAGCTCACTATGGTTAGATCCTTGAGTGGGAGACTATGCACACCTTGTTCAACTGTTATCTACTGCTGTTATGACTACATGAGGGACTGTTGATGTTCTAGTCTGCTGATATTAAGACTGTGTTTAATTACTGATTAAGGGTTTGATTGTCAACTTAAACCTCTGATTATTACAGCCTGTGTGAACTTGCTGAAGGAATTTTTGATGACAGAAAAGCCGACAGAGGCTTGATGAAAACGCGTCAGATAGTGATGACAATAAAAACGACAGATGCTTGATGAAAACGCGACAGAGAGATGATAAGCAGAAAAGCAGAAAACAGCCAGCACAACATCAAGATGACTGTAAGAAACTAAGCATTAATGAATTCTTGTATTAATTTTTGAAGAAATACAATTGTATGTCAAATTATGCATGTATAACCTTTAAAAAATACGGCAAGACCCAAGTTGAAATGTAATGGTGAATTTATTATCCAGTAGTGTAAAAATATAGAAAATCAACAACACAGTAATGAGTGACAGCTGGACAACAGTGTTAATTGGTAAAACAACTCATGTAAGCAGCATGACGGCAGAGAATAAGAAGTTCATCATGAGGAAAGGAAGGGGCAAACCAGCCCAGATGGGGATATATTAGGCTGTCTGCAGACCACTGGATTGACTTCATCCTCCGACCTGCCGGGGTGTTGTACGGGTTTATCTGTCTTTTATTGGAATAAACTCTCTTGAACTGACTCTCGACCGTCTCTAGAGAAGTTTTTGACTGCAAACTTATTGACAATAGTAGAAAGTTAATGGAGTATTTTTTGACAAAGTTTAAAAAGCTGGTGAAGGTGGGGACCAGGCTTAACTGGCCCAGCCTGGTCGTACATGTTTGGTAAAATCTTGTGGGGCCCTTACCTTCCTATGTCTTAAGTAAAATCTGGGTGCCATGATGTTTCTCTTAACAGGTTCAATTTCTTGTTTCTTTGGTTACTTTAAATATTCTTCTCCAGATTTTAAACATGTTAACTGTATGTAGAGTAGTTGTGTATTTTGATCTGTTTGTTCATCCAATTCTAGTTGAAGCAACAAGTTTTCTATCTTTTTTTGTTAAAGACAGCACCAGTTGAGGTGAAAAAATAAATGAAGAATTGAGCTTTATCTTTAACGAATGAACAGAGAGACAAGAAATAACAGAAACTGGAGGAAAGAGATGGATTTTCTGCTTCAAACAAATTAGATCATATGACATCTGTTTATACCTGCTCCAAATGTCAACACTGAAGACAGGGCAAAAATCAAAAAGTCCAAATGTTTAAGAGGCCTGAATAAGTGGTGGAAATAATGTCTTCATTATCTGATATTATTTTAACAGCTGTTTGCTTTCTGTTCTGTCAGTAAATGTGTTGCTTTTTGTTTAACTTGCCAGGGTTGGTACTGGAATAACCTGAGCTGGAGACTTGAGACTTGGACTTGAGTTCTTTTCAATATTCTCATTAAATTAGTCGACACAAAGAGAAGCTTTGACTCACCATTTGAAACTGGACGTTCAATGAAATGTTTCCATTCAACAATATTTGTTCTATTGTAATTGATTCAAACACAAACCATTCACCTTTTTACATTTGGTGATGACCCCTCCACCCAGACAGAGAAGGGATTGGTTGATGGCTATGATGATCACCGCTTTCACCCGCGAGTATCAAAGAGAGAAAAGTTGTGATTTCAAAGGAGCATGATGAAAGTGAAACGTCCTGTTTTGATCCTGCAGTCACAAACCTTTAACTTCTACTTCAGATTCTGATGTCGTCTGTGCAGCAGCACCAAAACAAGCGGTGGAAGCTGATTTACAAAGGTGGAAAACCTCTTTATCTTCTTCTCACTCTCACATTCCTTATTAAATATCATGTTTTCTAATGAACTGCATCACGTGTGGAAACCTCCAGACTTTCACTCTCAGTCCTTCAGAGTCTAACAGAGCGTCCAGAGGTTTTGTTGAAGAGTCAGACTGTGTTTGAGCGCCACCTGCTGCTCATTAAGCAGACAGACCAATAAAGATGAAGAATAAAGAGAACAGAGTGCTGCTGTTCCTCCATCTTCTGCTCTTTCCTTCATTGTTTTACTCTCTCTGGATGCTGCTCTGCTCTGACAGGAAATCACTGACGTTTAGTGGCTGAACGAGCAGCTTTGATTTGTTATTGAACTTTCTAATGTGCCTGTTAGCTCACATGTCTTTGACCTTTACACCTCAGCTCATGTCAGCGTTGATGTTTCCTCCCTTACTGTAACGTACAGAAGCTGATGTGCTTCCTGCAGTAGTTCGGTTTGTATCTGCTGTAAGCTGCAGTTAATCGATTGATTGTTTGATTTGTAAAGATCACGTAAATAGTAAGAAATGCCGTCACAGTTACCCAGAGCCCAAAGTGACAACTTCACAATGCTTGTTGTGTCCAACCAACAGTCCAAACCTCAATATTATTAACAAACATTAAACACTTGCCTCCAGCTCTCTTTGTAGCTCAGACAATCCCTGCTACTTGCGTGTGCTAATCCATTCTTTCACCCATATTCTTTGTCTTTATAATTGATATTTTTATAATAAACAAACAACAGCTGTTTCAGGTGTGTAGGTTCATGTCATTTCACGTGCGTTTTGACAAAACCTGGTTTGGAAACCAGCATCGGGTGTTTATGGTTCTGGAGCTGTGGAGTCTGGATTTGTGGTCTGTACAGAGAAACCTTTTGACTGAAGAGGAAGCAGACAAAGTGACAGTTTCTAGGATTCATTTCTGATTTGGATTCCACACACATGGAATCATTTCCATTTGCTGAATCATCATGAAGACGTTCAGAGACTCTGCTGCTGTGTCTTTTACACTTCTGGAGGAATATTAATATTAGAATTTCCACTTTTTCTGTCCATCAGATTAGCCGACCAATCAACAAGCAGACTGTTTCTCCTGGATGATGGAGGACGTGAACAGTGATGAAGGACACGTCCTGCTGGTAACAGTGATGCTCTCATTGATGAAGGCGTTTTCTGTTGACACACAAGGTGGATGTTCAGAGGGAGGGACGGCCGTCTGCAGCACAAAGAGACGCTTGTGCTGAACAAAGAAATGTAGGGGATTGGACTAAATGTTTAGAGAGCTGTGAGAATAAAACAAGCAGAGTTTCCTGAGAGTCGGTAGGATTCAGAGTGAAGAAGAAGCTGACAAACCGTCCTCCTGTCTTCATCTGTCCTTCATCAGCTGCTTCACCTCCATTTTCTCTCTGATCCAGAGTCAGATTAGATCAATGATCAAACTTATTGATCGGACATCAGAGGAGTTGGATCAGTGGAGCTGCTTCTGTTCCTGGAGACAGAGGACAGTCAGACAGAAACAAACACAGAGACTCTGACCTCAGTCTTCATACTTCATACTGACCTGACGGACAGCGGCAGCAATTTCAATAACTTTATTTAACGTCAGTGACACAAACAGCTGACAGAGATTTATGTCATTAAACACGTCAGTCCAATTTTTCATTAGCCAGTGAGTTCTTGTAAACATTCTTGTAGGACTCAACCTTGTTAGATTCCCAGTGAACACTGATATCTTCTAGCCTGACGCCTGAGCTACTGACTCTAACTAATCAGTCTACTGTTGTCTCCCTGATAAGGACAAGTACATGTGAGAATTACCTAAAGCTAGAATGTCAGAAAACACTTATGGGGTCAGCTACATTACTCTAAGCTTTACCTGTCTTACCTTTCCCTGT